TTTTTGTTGCAAAACATGAGTTTTTCTTGTCATTTTTGCTAAATACACTGAAGCTGTTTGTCTCAATAAATATCTGCCGAAACACGCAGGCAAAAGACAGCACTTAAATCCCAAAAAACATCTTGACTCACTTAGAAATCTCCAGGAAACACTTCATCGTAGGACCAGATGGAAAGAGACTCTCACTCAAGGAAATAAAAGTTTGGCATTTAGAGAACACGGATTGGATGGAAGGGATCGCAGCAAAGATATAAAGAGACTTTCCCTACTAGCTCTAGAAATTGTCTTTGAAATAAGTAACAGCTCGACCAGTTTAAGAGAAAACATACTAGGCAAGTGTTTTTTTAATACTCCTTAAAAATTTCTTTGTGGCTTAGGGAAATCAGAAGTGTCAAACCATGAAAACATTTCCCTAGTGAACTGGCTAACTATAAAACTGACAACTTACAAATATCCCTTCCCGAACAAAAACACACACAACACAAAAATATCCCTTCCCGCGCCCACAAATCTCTCTTCCACAAAAAAAACATACAGCAACGTCTGTTCCTGCCCCGCCAATGGTAGGGTCTACACAAGTCACTCCTCCTTAGATACTTGTTGGCTTGGAAGCAGTACAAGTATACCTCAAGAGAAACCATAAGTTCCCAAAGAAATCATGGGAGATCATGAAATGGATCAAATAATACTGGCAAATTGCTAGAACTATTTCCAAGGCCCTGAGGCATAAGGATCTGGCTGAATTTATGTGGCCAGAAAAAAATCTACAAGATAAAGACGTGGTCTCATTTGGATGATGGTTATGCTAAAAGCCCAGACTTGACTACTACACGATATATCCACATAGCAAAACTGCACTGTGCCTCTTAAATTCATCTCTCTCTCTCTCTCTCACACACACACACACACACACACAAATCAAGACGTCATTGCGCCTAGGAGTTCAAGGTTACAGTGAGCTATGATCATGTCACTACACCTAGCCTAGGCAACAGAGCAAGACCCTCCCTCAATAAAAAAAAGACATGACATATTCCAAGAGAGAATGATTGGACTATCAAAGGGTTAGAGATCTCCTTGGGAAAATGAAAGAAGCTCTCAAGTTTTTTTACATATTGACCCTCTCTGACCATACTATGATAATCTAAACATGATGTGACCACACAGCTTTGTTGGAAAAATTAGTCCCTCAAAGAGTAAAAAATAAAATTTGATTTATTCTTTGTCCTAAGGATTCAGAGTTTGCTAAATTATAAATGAGACAATGGCCGGGTGCAGAGGCACATGCCTGTAATCCTAGCACTCTGGGAGGCCAAGATGGGAGGACTGCTTGAGGTCAGGAGTTCAAGACCAGCCTGAGCAACAATGAGACCCCGGTCTCTGCTAAAAATAGAAAAAATTAGCCAGGGTGGTGGCGCATGCCTGTAGTCCCAGCTACTCGGGAGGCTGAGGCAGGAGAATCGCTTGAGACCAGGAGGTTGAGGTTGCAACGAGCTATGATGACACCACGACTCTAGCCTGGCGACAGAGTGAGACTCTGTCTCAATCAGCCCATAAAATGAGATTATGAGATTTTTTTGAGATTCTTTTATCTTCATTATTTAACTTCATTTTCTGAGGTGAGCTTCAGTCAAGCCTTTTTTTCTTCCATGATTTCTAGGAAGAGTTGGCCATTTTATGCGATTCACTTTATTTATTTATTTATTTATTTATTTATTTATTTATTTATTTTTTGAGACAGAGTCTCACTTTGTTCCCCAGGCTAGAGTGAGTGCCGTGGCGTCAGCCTAGCTCACAGCAACCTCAAACTCCTGGGCTCAACGCCATCCTCTGCCCTCAGGCCTCCTGGAGTAGCTGGGACTACAGGCATGCACCACCATGCCCGGCTAATTTTTTCTATATATATTAGTTGGCCAGTTAATTTCTTTCTATTTATAGTAGAGACAGGGTCTTGCTCTTGCCCAGGCTGGTTTCAAACTCCTGAGCTCCAGCGATCTGCCCGCCTCGGCCTCCCAGAGTGCTAGCATTACATGCGTGATATGCAATTCACTTTAGAAGCCCTTGTTCTCTCTCTCCATTGATGCCCCAACCTGCGCTGGGCAAGCGACTTGAGTTCAAAGCCAGATCCAGTGAGAAGAGAAAAAATAAAAAAAGTCTTGGGGCCAAAAAGGCGCTAGTGACATCAAATATTGATAAGAACTACACAATCTGGGCATGCTAGAACCCTAGTGGAGTTTGCACAAAAACCAATGCTACACAAAGTTAAATTCTAGCACTCAATTTTCTTTTCTTCCCTTTTTTTATTTTGAGACAGAGTCTTACTGTGTTGCTCAGGCTAGAGTGCCGTGGTGTCAGCCTAGCTCACAGCAACCTCAAACTCCTGGGCTCAAGCGCCCCTCCTGCCTCAGCCTCCCGAGTAGCTGGGACTACAGGCATGCGCCACCATGTCCGGCTAATTTTTCTATATATTTTTAGTTGGCCAATTAATTTGTTTCTAATTTTTTTAGTAGAGACGGGGTTTCGCTCTTGCTCAGGCTGGTTTTGAACTCCTGACCTTGAGCAATACGCCCACCTCCACCTCCCAGAGTGCTAGGATTACAGGTGTGAGCCACTGCGTCCAGCCTGGACCCTAGCAGTGCTTGTAGGGATGGAATGGCCCGAACTCTTTCTGTCAAGGCAGTCTGTTCATTTGGTAGCTAACAGTTCTGAAGATGGAAGGCAGGAAGGTGGGCAAACATCTTTTCAAAAGTAGACTGAAAGCAAAATGAAGTAGCATAGGTTACGGACACAGATGGACTGTTTCTATTAATATCACATCTAGACCGGCAACTCTCACCTTAGCTGTGCATTAAATCACTCCAAGACCATTTACAACAACTCTGATGCCTGTGTCTCAGCCTAGACCAACTCAATCTGAAGCTCTGGAGGGCAGGGCGCAGGCACTTGCGTTTTTAGGGAACTCCTTGAGTGATTCTAATCTTAGCCAGGGCATTGGTTACTTTGCCAAGATGATACAGCTACGAGGAGATGGATTAGCTTGCTTGTGGGAAGAGTTAAGAAATCAGCCGGTGGGATACATCCCAAAATGGTAATAGAGGCCGGGTGCGGTGGCTCACACCTGTAATCCTAGCATTCTGGGAGGCCGAGGCGGGCGGATTGCTCAAGGTCATGAGTTCGAAACCAGCCTGAGCCAGAGCGAGACCCCGTCTCTACTATAAATAGAAAGAAATTAATTGGCCAACTAACATATATATAGAAAAAATTAGCCGGGCATGGTGGCGCATGCCTGTAGTCCCAGCTACTCGGGAGGCTGAGGCAGGAGGATCACTTGAGCCCAGGAGTCTGAGGTTGCTGTGAGCTAGGCTGACTCCACGGCACTCACTCTAGCCTGGGCAACAAAGCGAGACTCTGTCTCAGAAAAAAACAAAAAACAAAAAACAAAAAAACAACAACAAAAAGAAGCCATGAGGCTTATAAAACGTCACCCCGTTAGTGAGAGCAAGTCATCCAAAATGTGTCGACCAACCTTGTTCACTAAGGAGGAGTTGATTTTGTTGACCAGCCAAGTAAAGGTGCGTCCATATACAGCCTTTGCCATTGCATCTCTTGCGTAGACAGAAAGTTCTAGCGTCAGTGGGCATATGACCTGGAAAGAATGACAAGGTATTATAGCATTACAGATTTACCAGAAGCACCCGAGTTTCCAAACTAGTCTTTAATGACAATGCCTGCTGGGGCAGGAGGCCACAGCTATGTCCTCTTGTTTGCACAGTGGCTATTTCTTGAGCCACCCACGGTTCCCAGCACCGAGCTGGGCTGCTGAGACACAGCCGTGAGCAAGACACACACAGGCCCGGCCTTGGGGGCTCACAGCTGAGCTGGGGGGAGGGGTGGGGAGGGGTGGAGTGACAGTGGAGGAGTTGCACAAGGAAGAGTCACATTGCAAGTTGAGAGTGACAAGTGCCACAAGGAGATACACAGGACGCTTTGAGGAAGAGGTGGGACGATCACAGAAGGCCCCTTGAGGAAGTGATCGAAGGATCCTGGGGACAAAAGGATGATGAGGAGTTAACTAGAAGACACGTAGGGAACAGTGTTCCGGCAGAAGGAACAGCATGTGCAAAGACCCTATGGAGGGAGGACACAGGAGTATAGGGCATGGAGGTGGGGGGGCAGGAAGGATGAGGCAGGAGACCCTGGCAGGAGCTGGGCCACACAGGGCCTGCGGAGCTAGGCTCCAGGGTTTGGCTTCCCCCAGGGCCACCATGCCGCTGTTCTCAGAGGGAGGCAGCCATTTCCACCTGGGGCCATTTTTACCTCCTCAGTTTTGGCTTCAATCTTTCTGTGGGTGAGAGCTTCCAGAAGGACTGATGAGTGGACCCCCAGGAGCTGAATAAAAAGAATCCAAAGTGCCATTCAGTGACCGGGTTCTACCTGCTGAGTTATAAAGAGCTCACGGGGTGTCCAGGCCCAGAGCCGTCCACCCTGATGGGTGACCAGGGTCACGGTGCCTTAGCGCAGGACAGATGGCATCAGCTCTCTCAACCAACGGGCTCTCTCCCCTGCCCCCACCTCCCTACTGAGCTCTCTAAACCTCCCAGCAGCTGCTCAGCCCTCTGGGCCTGACTGTGGGTGCCCACTGCCTGGCTCCCCTCCCCGCCCCCTGCCCCGCCCTCTGTCCCCTCCAAAAGAGGAACATCACCTTGGCGATCCACTTGATCTCATGGGTGTCTGGGATGGTGGCACAGCCTTGGTCGTCTTCTTCAAAACCAACGTTCCCCAGGTGGAGGACACTGGCGATGATTCCAAAGAGATTCTGGGAACGTGGGAAGCGGTCAGGACAGAGGACCCGGAGAGAGAATGGTGGCCACCTAACGGATGCATGTCACCAGCAGGGACACCCGACTCCCCGACCTGAGCTCACAGGACCAAACCCTCCTCCTTCCCCCCAGAACTCGGCCCTCTTATCCACTTCAGGTTTTAGGGGCAGGGGCTAAAGAGCCCCAGGGGAAGGCGGGGGAGATGCCCCATATCCAGCATTTTCCATGTGAAAGACCACTTTCATCTTCGCATAACGACCAAAAAAAAAAAAAAAATACATCAATTGATTTTTCCCAAAATAAACCACTTTTATAAAATAATTTAGAAAATAAACCCTGCCAATAAACCCATTTAATTTTCAAATGTCATGGTCTCAGGTTTTTTTTTTTTTTTTAACTACATTCTATCTTACCTTGGAAGTGTGGCCAAAAAACAAACAAAAAAAAACCAACCCTACATTCTAGTCCTTGAAAGCTTAATAGTTTAACAATCAAAAGAAAAAAAAAGAAAAAATGGACAAAAAAGATGTAAAATCAAAATATTTATAAATCCCACAATTTGCTCCAATTCATGCCAAAATATAAGCTTAAATAAAGGAGAATCTTATAATTCCATGAGATCTAAATTGTTGAGATTGGACTTAATTTAAAGGAAGAAGGACATCTCTCTCCTCCTCATACACAGCATCAGGAAAATTCAGGGTTGCCGGATCGAATAACAGGGTGCCCAGTTCACATTTGAATTTCAAATAAGCAATGACTAATTTCTTGGTTTAAGTTTGTCCACATGCAATACTGGGGACACACTTCTAACTAAAAAAAAATATTCTTCGTTGTTTATCTGTAACTGATATGAAACGAGGCATCCTATATTTTTATTTGTGCATCTGGCAATCCTACTATGTACACACTAAGAAACAGGGATTGTTTCCTCAATCACAGAGCAGTTCTGCCTCTAGGGCCCATACATACCTCAAGGTCACCTTCAGTAAAATCAATGACAGCAAAGGCATTGGAAACAGTTTTCCAGTCGTTCTTGTCATTAATGGACGACTCTTTGGCACAATGACCCTGTTGGCAGACAATTGGATCACTTAACGCCATTGTTTTTTTTTTTTTTTTTTCTTTTTTACTACAACGGAGTACCTAAGAAACGCCATTGTTATAAGGACAATTAATCATGGACACATCGATTCCTCCCTATGAAGATGCAGAAGCCAATTCTATAAGGCACTGAATTTTTTTAAAAAGGTACATAGGTTTTACTTTAATTGTCTAACACATAATGATTTGCCAACTACTGCTTTTTTCAAATTTATGTGGAATTTTATTTTAAAATCTCTGTCCTGGGAAAACTCTCAAAGGTAACTGTTAGTTGTGTATCTTTTTGTGTGTGTTTTGAAACATAGTTTTTCTTGTCATTTTTTGCTAAATACACTGAAGCTGTTTGTCTCAATAAATATCTGCCGAAACACGCAGGCAAAAGACAGCACTTAAATCCCAAAAACAATCTTGACTCACTTAGAAATCTCCAGGAAACACTTCATCGTAGGACCAGATGGAAAGAGACTCTCACTCAAGGAAATAAAAGTTTGGCATTTAGAGAAACACGGATTGGATGGAAGGGATCGCAGCAAAGATATAAAGAGACTTTCCCTACTAGCTCTAGAAATTGTCTTTGAAATAAGTAACAGCTCGACCAGTTTAAAGAGAAAACATACTAGGCAAGTGTTTTTTTAATACTCCTTAAAAAATTTCTTTGTGGCTTAGGGAAATCAGAAGTGTCAAACCATGAAAACATTTCCCTAGTGAACTGGCTAACTATAAAACTGACAACATTACAAATATCCCTTCCCGAACAAAAACACACACAACACAAAAATATCCCTTCCCGCGCACACAAAAATCTCTCTTCCCACAAAAAAACATACAGCAACGTCTGTTCCTGCCCCGCCAATGGTAGGGTCTACACAAGTCACTCCTCCTTAGATACTTGTTGGCTTGGAAGCAGTACAAGTATACCTCAAAGAGAAACCATAAGTTTCCCAAAGAAATCATGGGAGATCATGAAATGGATCAAAATAATACTGGCAAATTGCTAGAACTATTTCCAAGGCCCCTGAGGGCATAAGGATCTGGCTGAATTTATGTGGCCAGAAAAAAATCTACAAGAATAAAGACGTGTCTCATTTGGATGATGGTTATGCTAAAAGCCCAGACTTGACTACTACACGATATATCCACATAGCAAAACTGCACTGTGCCTCTTAAATTCTCTCTCTCTCTCTCTCTCACACACACACACACACACACACAAATCAAGACGTCATTGCGCCTAGGAGTTCAAGGTTACAGTGAGCTATGATCATGTCACTACACCCTAGCCTAGGCAACAGAGCAAGACCCTCCCTCAATAAAAAAAGACATGACATATTCCAAGAGAGAATGATTGGACTATCAAAGGGTTAGAGATCTCCTTGGGAAAATGAAAGAAGCTCTCAAGTTTTTTTACATATTGACCCTCTCTGACCATACTATGATAATCTAAACATGATGTGACCACACAGCTTTGTTGGAAAAATTAGTCCCTCAAAGAGTAAAAAATAAAATTTGATTTATTCTTTGTCCTAAGGATTCAGAGTTTGCTAAATATAAAATGAGACAATGGCCGGGTGCAGAGGCACATGCCTGTAATCCTAGCACTCTGGGAGGCCAAGATGGGAGGACTGCTTGAGGTCAGGAGTTCAAGACCAGCCTGAGCAACAATGAGACCCCCGGTCTCTGCTAAAAATAGAAAAAATTAGCCAGGTGTGGTGGCGCATGCCTGTAGTCCCAGCTACTCGGGAGGCTGAGGCAGGAGAATCGCTTGAGACCAGGAGGTTGAGGTTGCAACGAGCTATGATGACACCACGACTCTAGCCTGGCGACAGAGTGAGACTCTGTCTCAATCAGCCCATAAAATGAGATTATGAGATTTTTTTGAGATTCTTTTATCTTCATTATTTAACTTCATTTTCTGAGGTGAGCTTCAGTCAAGCCTTTTTTTCTTCCATGATTTCTAGGAAGAGTTGGCCATTTTATGCGATTCACTTTATTTATTTATTTATTTATTTATTTATTTATTTATTTATTTATTTTTTGAGACAGAGTCTCACTTTGTTCCCCAGGCTAGTGTGAGCTGCCGTGGTCAGCCTAGCTCACAGAACCTCAAACTCCTGGGCTCAAGCGATTCCTGCCTCAGCTCCTGAGTAGTGGGACTACAGGCATGCACCACCATGCCCGTAATTTTTCTATATATATTAGTTGGCCAGTTAATTTCTTTCTATTATATGTAGACAGAGGTCTTGCTCTGCCAGGCTGGTTTCAAACTCCTGAGCTCCAGCGATCTGCCCGCCTCGGCCTCCCAGAGTGCTAGCATTACATGCGTGATATGCAATTCACTTTAGAAGCCTTTTCTCTCTCTCCATTGATGCCCAACCTGCGCTGGGCAAGCGACTTGAGTTCAAAGCCAGATCCAGTGAGAAGAGAAAAAATAAAAAAAGTCTTGGGGCCAAAAGGCGCTATGACATCAAATATTGATAAGAACTACACAATCTGGGCATGCTAGAACCCTAGTGGAGTTTGCACAAAAACCAATGCTACACAAAGTTAAATTCTAGCACTCAATTTTCTTTTCTTCCCTTTTTTTATTTTGAGACAGAGTCTTACTGTGTTGCTCAGGCTGAGAGTGCCGTGGTGTCAGCCTAGCTCACAGCAACCTCAAACTCCTGGGCTCAAGCGCCCCTCCTGCCTCAGCCTCCCGAGTAGCTGGGACTACAGGCATGCGCACCATGTCCGGCTAATTTTCTATATATTTTTAGTTGGGCCAATTAATTTGTTTCTAATTTTTTTAGTAGAGACGGGGTTCGCTCTTGCTCAGCGTCTGGTGTCGTTTTGAACTCCTGACCTTAGCAATACGCCACCTCCGCCTCCCGAGTGCTAGGATTACAGGTGTGAGCCACTGCGTCCAGCCTGGACCCTAGCATGCTTGTAGGGATGGAATGGCCCGTCTTTTTGTCAAGGCAGTCTGTTATTTGGTAGCTAACAGTTCTGAAGATGGAAGGCAGGAAGGTGGGCAAACATCTTTTCAAAAGTAGACTGAAAGCAAAATGAAGTAGCATAGGTTACGGACACAGATGGACTGTTTCTATTAATATCACATCTAGACCGGCAACTCTCACCTTAGCTGTGCATTAAATCACTCCAAGACCATTTACAACAACTCTGATGCCTGTGTCTCAGCCTAGACCAACTCAATCTGAAGCTCTGGAGGCAGGGCGCAGGCACTTGCGTTTTTAGGGAACTCCTTGAGTGATTCTAATCTTAGCCAGGGCATTGGTTACTTTGCCAAGATGATACAGCTACGAGGAGATGGATTAGCTTGTGTGGGAAGAGTTAAGAAATCAGCCGGTGGGATACATCCCAAAATGGTAATAAGAGCCGGGTGCGGTGGCTCACACCTGTAATCCTAGCATTCTGGGAGGCCGAGGCGGGCGGATTGCTCAAGGTCATGAGTTCGAAACCAGCCTGAGCCAGAGCGAGACCCCGTCTCTACTATAAATAGAAAGAATTAATTGGCCAACTAACTATAATAGAAAAAAATAGCCGGCATGGTGGCGCATGCCTGTAGTCCCAGCTACTCGGGAGGCTGAGGCAGGAGGATGGCTTGAGCCCAGGAGTTTGAGGTTGCTGTGAGCTAGGCTGACGCCACGGCACTCACTCTAGCCTGGGCAACAAAGCGAGACCCTGTCTCAAAAAAAAAAAAGAAAAAAGAAAACCAAAATGGTAATAGAAAGTTCTCGAACATCCTAGAGCAGCCCCCACAAACGCCCCTGACCCCCTCCTCCCAAGGGTCACCCAAGCCAGCTGCTGATCCCGCCAACCTGCGAGAGGTATCTGTACAGCCGCGGGTCCCGTTCAAGCCCCAGGTAAGCAAGGCGCTCCTCTTCGCCGCCCGCGAGCAGCTGGTAGAAGATGTGGAAATTCCGCTCCCCCTGGTTTTGATAGACGACGCGGGACTTTTCTATCAAGTAACTGATGATGTGCCCACCCACGGGAACGCCCTTCAAAACAGAACAAAAGATGCAGCGATGACAAACAACCAAGCCACCGCTCTCTTCCCGGTAGCTTCTGATGAACAGAAGAGCTTACTTTGCATGAAGTCCAATCTATGAATCTGCTCTGATTAGTGTTTGCTGGGTTCTGCTTCAAAAGATTTTTGCCTATCCCAAGATCATGAAGATATTTTTTCTATGTTTTTGTCTAAAAGCATGAGTGTTTTACCAATTAGGACTACGATCCATCATTATTTAATTGTATGTAGGGAGTGGGGTCAAAGGTCTTTATATTGGTATCCATTTGATCAGCACCATTTATTGGAAAGACAGTCTCAACCCTAACTGAATCACAGTGGTGTTTTTGTCATACGTCAGGTGACTGTATAAGTGAGGATCTTTCTGGAATCTATTCTAGTCCTTTAGCTTTGCTATCTATCCTTGTGTCAATATCACATTGTGTCATTATTATTTTTAATGTATCCAATAAGAGATTTTTATTCCTGAACCTATACAGAATTCTTGCAAATCTATAAGGAAAAACAGACAATCCAATTAAAATAGGCAAAAGACTTCAATGAAAAAGAAGACCTTTGAGTGGCCAAGAAGCAAAACTTCATTAATTATCAGGGAGATATTAATACAAACTTAAATCACAGTGAAAAACCACTCTACCCCACCAGACTTTCTAAAACTAAAAGGACACATGTTGGCAAGGGTGGCCAGCAACCGGCACTGCCATTCTTTACCCTGACATTGGTGGTAAGAACCCAACAATTCCACTTTTGGGGTCTATACCCAACATAAACTAGCGCTTGTATCTACTAAAGAGCACAAGCTATGTGCGCAATGTTCTAATAGTCCCACCTTGCAAACCACCCAAATGTCCATCAACAGGAGAACAAATAAATTGTGATATAGTCAGAGAATCAAAAAATGCACAAAAGTCACATGCAATGACCTGGATGAATCTCACAGATACAGTGTGGCTGGAAAGAAGCCAGACAAAACATGGAACATACCATATCATTCCATTTATATGAAGTTCAGTGACCAGCAAAACAGATCTGGGATCACAAAAGTCAGAACAGTGGGCCAGGGGAAGTGGGCCAGTGTTGGGGAAGGACAGAAAAACCTCTGGATGCCTTTTCAGTCCATGTTGAACTTCAGTAAAAGGCTTTAAAATATACATTGTGGTTACATTTCTTTCCAAGTCTATTCATGCTCCACCAGAGATCCACATATCAGCCTCTGGGGAACACGGAGCCAATCTGTCCTCATTGCTGTCCTCAGTGCTCAGATACCTATTGTCTTCTGGTCTGTCCTTTGACTGCTTGGAATTATATGTCCTTGAGAATTTTGTCTGCCCTCCCTTATTGTATTAGCTCCATTTAAATTCCGTGTACAAGCCAACTAACCCATTCGTTTACCTATCATCTGTGGTTGCTTTCCTGCCACAACGGAAGAGTTCAGCAGTTGCAATTGTACGGCTATATGGCCCACTAAGCCTAAAATATTTGCTCTCTGGCCTTATCTGAAAAAGTTTGCTGACTCCTGCCACTTAAGCAGGCATGCCTAAACAATAGACTGTTTACTTGTGACTTGCTTTCAAGCTTTATAAAAATGGGATCACACTGGCACACGGTATATTCTCAAGACCCACTCATCCACATTAGGTGTTGCTATAGTTCATTGGCCCTCACTGTGGTGTATACCTCATTTGTGAACATACCACGATTTAGCCATTCTCCTATCAATGGACGTTCAGTTCTCTGCAGATGTGTTGGTTGTGTTCAGTGCCTTTACCATCATGAGCAGTTCTGTTGTCAGCCTGCTTACATGTCTATAGGGGTATCTCTGGGAGTGGAAGGGCTACACCTTAGGTCATGTGATTTCAACTTCTCAAAACAGTACCATAATCATTGCTGCAAACTACTGTTTTCCAAATGGGCTGCACCAATGAGCACCCTACCAGCAATGTATAAGAATTCGTAATGATCCGTATCTTTCTCAACATCTGGTATTATATCAGACTTCTTCATTTCTGCCCGATTAGTACTAACCCTGGATTTTTTAACTGTTGAGCCAATAAAAGCCCTTCCTTCCTTAAGGGGCCTTGGGTAGGATTCCATCACTGGCAAAAGAAGGGACCCCGTGAACCAGTAACAAGAACTATAGGAACTTCAGTGTACCTGGAAGTCAAACTGTATGTCCATGTATTTTCCAAATCTGCTGGAGTTGTCATTCCGGAGTGTTTTGGCATTTCCAAAAGCCTTGGAATACAAAGTGTCATTCACTGTCATTTAAGCTCATCATGCTCATCAAATTTCTGACCCCAAATTACATGCTTATTACGCAAATGGAGGAGAGAGGGAGGAGCCAGGGAGGAAAGCCACTCTTTAGCTTCTCAGAAGGAATCACTACCTACAGAGAATTTAATGCCAAATGCTAGATTTGGACCCAGGGAAAATAAGGGAAAAATATCTTATCCCTAGAATCCAATCTAAGAATATATTAGATATATCCTAGGGAGAGGTCCATAGGACCCCAGGCCCTCATTGTTCTAGAAAGCACAGTTGATAGCCCCCATCACCAGACCCTCCCCACTTTTTTTTTTTTGAGACAGAGTCTCACTTTGTTGTCCATGTTAGAGTGAGTGCCGTTGCGTCAGCCTAGCTCACAGCAACCTCAAACTCCTGGGCTCAAGCGATCCTGCTGCCTCAGCCTCCCGAGTAGCTGGGACTACAGGTATGCGCCACCATGCCCGGCTAATTTTTTCTATATATATTAATTGGCCAATTAATTTCTTTCTATTTTTAGTAGCCCGGCCACCAGACCCCTTCTTATATCAAATTGTTTAGCTCAAAGGGTCTACTGGGAAAGTCCTTCAACCACAAATATCTTCTTTTACAGAAAGGGCCACAAAAACACAGGAGAAAACGACTTGTTCACTCTCAGCCAGCAAGTCAGTGAATCGTAATAGAAATAATAATAACCGAAATGATTTTGATCATAAGAAAAATCTTAAAAAATAATAAAGTATTATTTTAGTGCTTACTAATTCTGTGGTGTGTCTTTCATGCATTCATTTCATTTAATCTTCAAAGCCTCTTAAGAGGCAGGTACTATGAGCAGACCCATTCTACAGATGGAAAAACAGGCTCCGGGATTTGGAGGGACTTGCTGAAGCTTGCTGGTGCTTGGCCATGCTGGAATTAGTAACCAAGCCTGCCAGACTTACTTTCAGGTCACACCGTTAACCATGACACTACTAATGAGACCCCTCTTCTTAACAGTGACCTGCCCATTTTGACCGACATGCCCAGGCAGAGGATTCTTCTTACCTAGTGACCCTCCCTGGAACAGCCCCACCACTGGTCCTCAAAGATGGCTTACCTCCAGCACTGGATTGGAGAGCAGCAGTCTGTCCCGGGCTATTTGTAGTGACTGGGTCATCGGACAGATCATCGCAAAATACTGGAGAATCTTCTTGGAGGCCTCCGTTTTCCCTGCCCCACTCTCTCCAGAAATGAGGATAAAGTGGTTATTTAGTTCAGAGCACATCATTCGGTAAGCGTTGTCAGCTATGGCATAGCTGGAGAAGGAGCCAGACAGAAACAACAACAAAAAAATGATTTTCTGAGATAGGATCTTGCTCTGTTGCCCAGGTTAGAGTACAGTGGCATCAGCCTAGCTCACAGCAACCTCAAACTCCTGGGCTCAAATGATCCTCTTGCCTCAGCCTCCCAAGTAACTAGGACTACAGTTGTGCGCCACCATGCTTGGCTAATTTTTCTATTTTTTGTAGAGATGGGGTCTCGCTCTTGCTCAGGCTGGTCTCGAACTCCTGGCTTCAAGCAATCTTTTTGCCTTGGCCTCCCAAAGTGCTGGGATTACAGGTGTGAGCCACCACACACGGCCACAAATTGGTTTTAATGCTACTTCCCTTGGCTCTGACACCCACCAGAGAAAGACAAAACACCCCACCTCTAGGAAACCCCACCCAGGCTGTAGTTCAAGCACACTGGGCTAGGACAGGTATCAACCCCCAACCGTGACCCACTGACTGATCAAATATCACGTATACTAGATATCAAAACTCAAATAGAAGAGTTAAAGTGAAAATTTTGAGTACTAATTAAAATATTTTTCAAAATTTACAACAATCTTTTCTTAAATGCATCAATATTTCTTATAAGAATGAGCCAGATACTAAACTACATCCCCAAGAGACATTCCATTAACTGTAGGTAGAAATAACATTTTGTCTAAATATTAAATAATCTCATAAATATAATAAGATCTCATGTTTTCTTTTTCCCTCAAAACCTAGAGTACTAAGAATGCAGTGGTAGGAAAACAAAGAGATTAAAAAACTTCTGTGATATCTTTAGAACAAGAGGTATTAATAAAAACTATTATAAGGGTTTCATCTTCAAGATCAGAAACAAAAGCATGAAAGTCTCCCAAGAGTATAATCTTAGTGTGTGGCAGACTTTGAAAGCTATTTCAGCTTTCAAAATATGGTGATGATGCAGAAAGGTTTATAAATGTCTTAGGAGGCAGAATAGCTAAGTCACCGAGACAAATGAAGGGAGAACCTATATCTTAGCCCAGAAGTCAACCAAGGAGGAGAACTAGGAAATTCAGCAAAGCTTGAGTCATGTAGACTGGGCAGGAAATTAATCATCTTAAGCTTCTACAGTCCTGGTAAGTTTCCATCAATGGGCGGGTTTCCATCATGGGCCGCCATGACACTCAGGCACCAGTAGACGGCACTACAGCGACCCCTTTCCCAGAGAAGACACCTCTCTGGCCATACTTCGCAGGGACACAAAGATTCCCCTTGTCATATTTAAGCTGAGATTCCATAAGACCTATCGTTTTCTACTGCTCTGAAAGACATTTCACGAGAAGGCATGAGCTTAAGTTCAGAACCTCATGAACATGCATCAAAGATGTGGATGAATGGATGGATGGATGGATGCGATGGATGGATGGACGGATGATGGGAAGGAGGGAGAGGAGGTGGGGAAAAAGGAAAAGAGAAAGGAAGGGGGGAAAAATAGAAAACTACTACTAGCGAGGACCCCGTGGATGCTACTTACACATGTGGTGGCAGCTCAAAGAAATTGACCCCTTGATAAAGTTCCATCTGGCTCACGGTGTAGATTCCCAGCTCCTGGTATGGATTCACCGACACAAGGAGGGTCCCGATGTATGTCTAGAGACATGGACCAAAGCACAAGTGAGGAATTCCAGGGTGCAAAGGAAGCTCTGACTTAGGTGGGACAAAGGCAATATATGTAACCTAAAACATTAGTACCCCCATAATGTGCTGAAATAAAAATTAATTAGAAACACACTATGATCTCCATTCAGTGCTGAGGCTACAACATGATGAATCAGGCTGTGCTGGAAGCTTAGGTACTTCAGACAGAGGGAGGGAAGACAAACCACCAAAGAATCAAGACAGCTTCAATGAGAGACCGTGGTAAGAAAGGTGCACGGGGGGCAATGAGGGTGTCGATGACTAAGACAGGCCAGCCATATTCGCTAGTGGGGACAGAGAAGGCTTCTTTAAAAGGAGGTGACATCTGAGCCAAGACTTGGCCAAGTGTGACAGGCTGGCCTCGTGGGAGGCCAGTGTGGCTGAAGCCTGTGAGTGAGGGAAGAATGGAAAACGATAAGAGAACACCCAAGAGGAAGCAGGTTTGGATCACACAGGCCCTGGGGGCTGCCACAAGAAAATGGGGCTTTATTCCAAATGCAACAATGGCAGAGACACTGTGCTCCCCTAGGGAAATGAAATACCTGCTCTGAACTGGAACATGAATGGATGGCTTTAAGAGAGGAGCACAGTGACCTGATTTATGCTTCACAAAGGTCTCTCTGGCCATTGAGCGAAAGCGGGTTGAGTATACCCACCAGCCTTCTAAAACTGGGCAAAATACTCCCACTACTGGCTTATATATATTTCCCTAGATTTCAACATTACACCATATTCATATTCAAGTTTTTCAAATACTCACATTTGCAATGTAACCACTAACATAAGACTTCCTGGAGTATAATTATGAATAAACAAAGAGCTCCAAGCTCTTGTATAGGAGAAATAAATATTTGGGCCCATTTGAAAATACATCTGACATTTTCAGATTCTGAGTTTGTTGTTGTTTCAAATACAGGACATAACCTGCTTTAAGATTATGCTAAAATTGTTTTCAGTAATGGTTCCAATTCCCAGGACAAAAAAATCAAACAGAGAAACTGGAACAGAGAACAAGATTTTGATTAAAATTCTGCATTGCTTCAATCAGGAGAAATCTGGTCTTCCAGGGTGGAAGACAGTTTCTGAAAATCTTCAGTTCAAATCAGAAACATCTCACTTAATCTTGAGGATCTTATCATCTCATCTTTACTTCTGCATACCATGGTATTTCTCCTTTGCTTACATAGAAAATTAGTTTAATTTTTTTTCTATTTCTACAAGTAAGGGTGATAATTCTGAAAGTTAGGCTCCAGGATATAAACTCTAAGAAACACCCTGCTTGTTTCTTCTGGTAACCTTAGTTTCAACATATAAGTCACAGTCACCATTACTAATAAAATAGCTAGATGACAAATATTTTTAAACTGCTTCTGATTGTCTACTTTACTCTTAGCAGACCAAATACAATCTCAAAAAAAAATTGAATATCGGCATGCAAAATCCTGTCGAAAAAAAGAAAAAAAAATAAAAAATAAAAAATAAAAAATTGAATAATTTTAATAACACCCTGTGACACACACAGAGACACAAGAGGTTTGACCTGGAGGATACAACTGAAAATTGACCAATCCAATCAGGGTGTGGTGATAAATGGACAATTTAGTCAAAACTGGCTACTATTAGAGGCGACAAGATCAATCTGAGAAGTGTTTGGGAAAGATTCATGGGATGTGGTTGGAGGACCTCTCTTGTTTTTCCCAGCTTGGTATTTTGCTCCCCTCCTCTTCCCATAGAGTTGTGGAGAGCACCGTTATCCTGACTTTCAGTCCACAGGGCACTCACTCCCAAGGGGCAGGCCTGGGGACCCAGCCTGGCCAATCAGAATAGTCCTCATTCCTAGCCACAGGGATAGGTTCTGAGATAGGCACACCCCCCAGCATCAGCCAATCAGAGTCGAGCAACGTCAGCACTGCGCGACATTGACTACACCTTCTCCGTTCTCAGTAGCAACGCTAAGCTGCTGAAATGTCAGCCTGGATCTGAGAGCGGCCATCTTGTCACCCTGCAAAGAGAGGCTGCCTGAGAAGAGAACTGATGCAAAAGAAAGCAGAGCAGAGAGAAGGAGAAAGAGTCCTTAAGGCATCCTCCGGAAACCTAGATCCATTCCTGGACTCCTAAGTTACACATGTCAACAGATCCCCTTTGGTGGTTTAGGCCAGTTGCAGTTGGGTCTCTGTCTCTGGCAGCCACAAAAACCATAGCACAAAGGATCAAAATTGCATCTGCTAGCGGTCCCCTGACACCTCCCTTTAAAGGCTAACCGAATAGAGTGATACTGTGCACAGTCATCAAAGCTGTGAAGGCAGGAAGGGAACGACCACTCCGGGAAAACAGCTGAGAAATGGGTCAAGTTACGTATATGAGATTCTCGCTGAAACGCTTGCGAAGGTTGTCCACAAAAGCAGTTTCGCTGGTGTATGCGTCCAACAGCACAAAATCCTGCACCCCGACCTTGTCCCGGGCAGTGAGCGTCCCCTCCATGTGCAGACGAATGTGCTTCCGCCTCACTTCTTCTTTCTACAGGAAACAGAACATTCCTTAGCAGCTCATTTATTCGGTAACATCTGTTACACATCTAACACGTGGAAATAACAAGATGCTAAACCCTGGGACAGTAAACAGGCTTAAATGATGCTGCGTTCATTTAGAGTTGACAATCCGGTCAGGGGTACAAGATGGTAAGAATGAAAGCATGGATGACAATAAAGCAACAGCATCTAACAGGAACCGAGCATTTATTGTGTCTGGCACTATTGGAAATGCTTGACTTTTATTATCTCATTTAATCTGGATGCCGACTCTCTGAAGCAAGCACTATTAGCATGCTCATTCTACAGATGAGAAAACTGAGGCATATGGATGTTATAAACCATGCCCAAGATCTGCCAAAGGGCAGAGCCAGAATATGAAACTCCGCAGCCTGACTCAGAGCTCACTTTCCTGACTACCATGCATTCAGTAAGTGTTAATGGTCTAAACTCTGGGTAATTCCAACGTGAGTGATGAGGAGTTTGGGTCAGAAAGGGAATTTCTTGTTACAGAGGAGTATTCAAGGAAGGACAAACTCGGGTGTTCCTCCCTAAGGCTGGTCTTTAGAGCTCGCTGGAGAAGGTGTGGTCACGGCTACTGGGTGGCAGAGAATCTCACCAGGTTACTAGGGCCAGAGCTGTTCCACGGTCACCGGGCACAGGCACTTCTGGGAATCAACCCTCCAGGACTCAGGCAAGCTGAGGCCACATGACAATTGTGTTTCTGGAGTGCTGGCGAGAGTAGGCAGGTGCAAAGCCTGGAGTATGTGATTGCAAAATGTTCTGTGTTGTAAAATGGTCACCAGGCCGGTGGCCAGAGCTGTGAGGTCACCGAGGGACTGTGCTCTGGGTACACAGTTAGGTTACGTCCCACCGATGGATCACTGTGCCCCAGTCAGAAAAACAAGAAAAAAGCAAAACATAGCGAAGGGAAGCAGGAAGAGTAGCCCCTTGCTGTTGCAATCATACTCTAGCGCCCTCTAGTGACAAAAGTTGATATCGTGCTCACTTCAAGGAGTAATGCTGCGAAGACCAGCTCACTGGACGGCAGGTGTCGCAGGGTGAATTCAGATCTGAAATGCCATACATTGAAAACTAGCACATATGGATATGCAGAGATCCCAGAATAGCCTAAACTACCTTGCAAAAGAAACACACAGCTAGAGGACTCACACTTAACTTTAAGTAATCCAGACTGTGGATCAATCGATTTTTGGCAAAGGTACTGCAACAGTTCAGTGAAGAAATGGAAAATCTTTTCAAACAATGGTTCAGGAACAACCAGATAGCCACAAGGAAAAAAGTTGCATTTCAGTCCCCATCTTATGCTACACATATATATTTTAAACTCAAGATGGATCTTAGGCCTAAGGTAAATGTAAAATCTGTAAAGCTTCTTAGAAGAAAGCAAGGGATTATCTTTATAAGCAGAGGAAGGCAAGATTTCTTAGGACACAGAAAGAAATAATTATAAAAAGAAAAAAATAAGAGACTAGATTCCATGAAATATAAAACTTCTTATCAGAAGACACTGTTTAGAAAATGAATAGACGAAGCACAGACTGGAAGAAAATATTCACAAAATATATAGCTACAAAGAATCTGTATAGGGAATAAATAGCACCTACAACCCCCAAATAAAAAGAAAAACCCAATAATAACAAACACTGGTGAGGATGTGGAGTGGACAGAATTTTCTTACATCTCCAAGAGGAATGACAAGGGATACGATCACACTGGGGAAAGATCTGACAGTTTCTAATGAAGTTAACCATGCCTTTAGCCTTTGATGGAGCAATTCCATTCCTCAGTATTTACACAAGAGAGATGTAAACATATGTCCACCAAAAGACTTGAACATGAAATTCAACTCATGCTCAACTTTATTCAGAGTGGCCCCAAACTGGAAACAATCCAAATAGCCATCAAGTGCAGAATGGCTGGGGTACATCTGTACAATAGAACGAGCACAGCCGTAAAAGAGAAATAATGGGTGCATGTGAGAGCATGGATGTCTCTCACAGACATTATGCGGAGTGAAAGAACCCAGACACAAAAGAGTACATCCTGTATGATTCCATTTATGTGGCATTCTAGGACAAGCAAAACTAATCCACAGTGAAAAATCAGAACAATTGTTGCCTCGTTGGGTAGTTGTTGGGCCAAGGACATTTTGGGAGTGATGGAAATGCTCTATATTTGATAGGGCCGTGAGTTACACGGGTGTATCTATTTGTCAAGACAAATTGTTAAAATTTTGTGCATTTCAACCAATTGGGCATTTTATTTTTTAAAAAGAATCACAAAAAATAATTGAGTGGGAAAAGGGTGGAGAGTAGCTGGAAGTACAAAGGAAAACAGAATGGCAAAATGTTAGTTGTTGAAGCCAGGTGGTGGGTATGGAGGATTTATGCATTTATTACTGATGCATAATGGGTGTACATCATTTTGGGGTACATGTAAACATTTGTAGAATTTGTAAAGATCAAATCGGTATACTTCAGATATTCATCACCTTAAATATTTGTCTTTTCTTTATGCTAGAACCAAATTCTTCCCTTCTAGCTATTTTGAGATGTACAATAGATTATTGTAAACTATAGTCGTCCTACTGATCTAGCAAACACTAGGTCTTATTTCTTCCATGAAATAAGAAGATATTTGTACCCATGCATCAACTTCTCTTCAGAGGGGGGCCTATTATACTATTCTGTTTACTTTGTATAAATTTGAAATTTTCCATAATAAAAAGTTAAAAACAAAACAATCAGGCCAGGCACAGTGGCTCACGCCTGTAATCCTAGCACTCTGGGAGGCCAAGGCGGGCAGATTGCTTGAGGTCAGGAGTTCGAAACCAGCCTGAGCAAGAGCGAGACCTCGTCTCTACTAAAAATAGCAAGAAATTAATTGGACAACTAATATATATAGAAAAAAATTGGCCGGGCATGGTGGTGCATGCCTATAGTCCCAGCTACTCAGGAGGCTGAGGCAGAAGGATTGTTTGAGCCTAGGAGATTGAGGTTGCTGTGAGCTAGGCTGACGCCATGGCACTCACTCTAGCCTGGGCAACAAATGTCTCAAAAAAAAAAAAAAAAACAACCAGAATGGCCAGCAGATGTCTCCCTACACTAGCCTAATGAGGCTAAAAGAATTGCCAGCAACCTAAGATTGAAAACAATACATTTAGATCAATCAATATTTTCATGGTTCCAAATATATATATATATATATTAATAGAGACAGGGTCTCGCTCTTGCTCAGGCTGGTCTTGAACTCATGAGTTCAAATGATCCACCCGCCTCAGCCTCCCAGAGTGTTAGGATTACAGGCATGAGCCACTGTGCCCAGCCCCAAATATTCTTAAGTTTGGGTTTTGTTTTGTTTTTGCAATAAGAGAAACAATATAGCACAATGATTAGCACAAGGACTTCGGAGCATGAGCCTGTCCAGGTTCAAACCCCATCTCTATCACTTCCTGGTGGTATAACCTTGGGACAATCTCTTCATCTCTCCAAGTTCCAAATTTCTGTTGCATCTCTATAAAATGCAATAATCATCATACCTACTTCATAGGGTCGTTAGCTTGACCAGGACCATGCAAAGCACGTAGAAGTTTGCCAGGCACAATGTAAGTTTTGTGTGTACTTGACTTCTGTCTTTGTTAGTATGAATAATATGATGATTAGAAATGGGAACACAGTAAAACCAAAAATCTGATTCGTAGTCAATGAGCTCCTATTAAATGGGGGGGGGGGAGACTGGGGTCTGAGATAACATCTGGGGCTGCACCTGGAAATATTACCGCGCCTGGAGCATGCGGAGATTAACAGAACTCCTCTCTCAGCCTGGCCTGTGGGCTGTGAGGGCACTGTGCTCATGAGAACGAGCCTGCGGCCAGCCCAGGAGCATGTGTGACTTGCAGCCCAAAGAGATTTGGCGAAACCTCATAGATGAAGAAACATGACAATGAGTGTTAACTTGCAAAGCTCAAAGCCCCCTCCATCTGCTTCAGACTGGAGTTTTGTTAGTCGCATTATTTCAGTTCTAATGCCTGGATTCTTTTTATCTAACTCATTTCCAGGTATCTTTTAAAGGGCATGGGAAAACTAGAGTGTCCCAATGAGATTGACGTGGGTGATTAAAGGGACGAATATCAGGACATAAAAGAAAGGTAGTCAAGAAATGGCAGCAGTTCATCCTTGACCAAAAATACGATTAAGAAACGTATCCAGAAGAGAATAATAAATCCAGAAATCATTAAATAAGAGGGAGGAAACTAAAGAGAGATTCAATTATACCTAAGAAAATTAAATTACATCAAATTAAGTTACACCTAAGGGGAAAAAAACTATCTTTGTGGCAATAAATGGAGCAGAAATCACAGCAGGGACAGTGACTGCCTCAGGCTGCCAGGTGATGGGGACAGGGTTAGAATGGCCATCTCAGGTGTGTAGTCAGATACTACCTGGCTCCAGCTGGTTGGAACCAGCCATGAATAAAGAACCCTTGAGATCAGATCTTTCTATTATATTATTTAAGACAACTCAGGAACTTGGAATTCTGTGTGAAGTCCTGTGACACATGTTTAGCTTTGGAAGACACTAGTTTAGTATCTCTGCAGCACATACTAAAAACTAAAGCAAGCCACTCATTGTCTTGCATGGTTTAGACATGTCACTTATCCGAAGGCAAGGGATTTGAGCAGGTGCTCCCACCAGGATCATTATTTTGGAAGTATCATATACCCAGTGATGATCTGACCCTGTCATCGTCTACGTAATCTAATGCTTGACACAGTATTTGGCCAGGGTCAGGGGACGGCAGGGATGGCACAACATGTGTAAAGATGGTGAGATGCCACGGTAGAGACCGAAAGTCCTGTTATTCCGTGGGCAAGCCCCCTTGCAGCTAGGTGGAGTCACTTGGCTACCTCTGGCCAACTGGTTGTAAGTAGAAGTGACATTTGTGCAAGATCCTTCCAATGGGTTA